AAGTAGAGTAGAGGCACGATATATACATATAATTAGAATAATATGTATATATATTTGAGCATCTGGGCACAAACACAACATATCAGTTTGAACACCGAAAAAAGCTTTTATGTTCTATCATGCATAAAATAAACAAAAATTTTGTTTTTGAACTAAAGAAACTTGAAAATGATTTACAATCAACCGTTAGTCAGTTAAATTGGAAGTTAACTAACGCCGAACATGCTGTGATTTTCGCCAATAATATATATATATATTATATATACCAACATTACCAACATTTACTCGAAGTTCTGCGACCAACCGACGCAATCTAACAATCGAACAAGATCGCGAGCAGCGACTTCTCCATCTCTCTCGAGAATTAGAAGTTAAAAGGAAGGTAGTTCTAGATTTGTCCAATTACAGAATATATATATATATATATATATATATATATATTTTGGAACGAGGTTTTCTTTGATGCAAATATCGTTAAATATTTTTGCCCATTTTGCATTAATTAATTTTTTAATAAGGATTTCGACAACGCGAAGCTGTTTTAATTCATATTTATTATCATTATGTGTCATCCTAGGCTTACAACGTTGTTTCGACATACAATCATCATCAGAGCCTGGTTTTACGAAATATCAAAAATTGAATTATAATTTAAACATTAAAATCAAGAAATTTAATGAAAAGTACAAGAAATGAAATTATGACGTTGTAATTAGAAAATTAGAAATATGAAAATGTAAAATATGAAAAAATGTTACCTTGTAATAATAAAATATTGCAATAAAACAATAAACGGTTTTAAACGAATGAAATTAAAACAAATTATGAAAATAAGTAAATAAAATTGTGTAGAAACGTATAATAAAACAATTCAGTTAGACGGGAAAAACAAGTGTTTCATGGCAGGATGATATTAAAAGTGAAAGTCAGTAAGACGATATAAAACAAAAGGGTGAATGTAGAAATTAAAATTTATTATTATAATTAATAAATAATTTAGATAAAGATAAAAAATAAAATTTGAAACAAAATAAAATGACGTTATTAAAATAAGTATTATAGAAAGATAAGTAATAAAAATATAAATATAAAAATATCATAAAATAAAATAAAAATAATTTAGCAGTTATTGAATAAGGTAGCAAGTGACGTGATGACCATGGATTTCGGACGTGACGTTAATAACTGTGTATTAACTGGTCGAAAACTGTCAGACTTAGAGCGATATTCGTATCGTTTGGGTACTGAAACGTCTGCTGGCTTGTTTTCGACTGCAATCGTTGGTATCAGTTCACGATATTGAGAAAATAATTGAAGGGTATGATCGAAACTATTATATTGTTTGTTTAATGTTGGTTTGTATTTGTTGATGTACAGGGCTTCGCGAATTTTGAGACGTCCAGTATTTAATACTGAATCCAGTATTGTTGTATTTGAATCCAATATGGTCCTAGTAAGAGGCATATGGTGCTCGTTGGACATATGGTCTCTAATGGCACCGTCCTGCAAATGCATAGTGAGCCTACGAGAAAGAGTAGTACGCGTGTGGCCGATGTAACTTTCCGATGTATATATATATATATATATATATATATATATATATATAATTTGGTTGAATGTTCTTGCCCATTTTGTAATAATTAATTTCTTTTGGGTTTGTTCAATAAGACGCAATTGTTGTAACTCAATTTTATTAAACTCGTCAAGCAATTCGATCGGCTGACGACGTCGGTTCGATAGTGTATGTCATCATCAGAGCCTACGTTTAAATTATTAAATATGAATTGAATATTTAAAATTGTAAAATCGAGGAGAATAAACGAACCAAATTGGGAAAATATAAGCGTAAAATGATTAAGGAAATTAAATTAAAATTAATGTAAAAAGTATACGAAATTTGAGTAAAGGTACTTAACTTGCCAATAAAATAAATTAAATGTTGAGATAACTGATAATAAAATATACAAAATATGTGAAATGAATTTCAAAAGTTAAATACTGGAAGTGAAGGTAGAAGTATGAATATCGATATTGCAAATTTGGAATGACAACGAAACTTGTGTGGAGTGGTGGGATGGTACGAGTGTGTATGAATAAATATATTATGCTAATGTGTGAATAGGTGGAATAGTAATGTAAGTGATGTTAATTATCGATTGTAAATGAAGCAAGGCATGGATATTAATTATCACATAAGGTAGTGAGTGACGCGACGACGTAGGATTTACGACGATTAGTGACAAACTGCCTAGTGGCAGGATGGAGTTTGTCGATTGTGGAACGATATTCGTATCGTCGTGGTACCGTCACCTGCCGTGGATCGTTTCTGACGGGGAACGTCGGCGTCGAATCACTATATTGGGAGAATAGCTGGAGAGTGTGGTCGAATCTATTGGTTTGTTTGTTCATGGTTGGTTTACTTTTGTTGATGTGCAGGGCCTCACAGATTTTCAACCTACCCGGGTGGGTTTCTGTGTCGAGTATCTTGGTATTCGCATCGAGTATGGCTCGCGTGAGGTTTATGCGGTGCGCATTAAACATATGGTCCTTAATGCCACCGTCCTGTACATGTAAGGTGAGCCTGCGGGAGAGAGTAGTACGAGTGTGACCGATGTAGTAATCCACAACGCAGTGTGGCACAGGACACGTAAAATGGTACACAACGTTTGTCCTCTCCAACGCAGGTAATGGTGGGTGTTGTTTTTTATAACGATGTTTGATGAGCGATTTGTGCTATAATAAATGATGAGTTGTAGACGCTTGTTGTTATCACACGGCAAATTTGTTTTGAATGATGCGTTTAATTTGCGATTCATCGACTCTATAGTTGTCATACATTTGTCATACATATAGAATTCAGCAAAAAGGGGTCCAAGAGGAGAGCCCATGGCAACGCCGTCGACCTGAAGGTAAAGAGAGCCGTCTGGAGAGACGAAAGGGCTTTCGACGGTACATGACTTCAGAAGTTCGACCAATAAACTGGGAGGGATATCGAGTTGTGGAAATGTGGAATGGTTATACACGTTCTTGCAAATTATGTCGATTGTATATACTATGGGAATGTTAGTGAATAGGCTCTCAACATCCAACGAAGCCATATGGCCTGTGCACCGCCTGTTATTGTTAATAATCTCGATGAATTCGAAGCTTGATTTTACGGAGAAGGTACGAAGGACATATGGCTGAAGAAGTTTGTTGAGCGACTTCGCTAACTGATATGTTGGTGTGGGACACTGTGATATGATAGGGCGCAGTAGGTTATTTGGTTTGTGAGTCTTTACGTTGCCGTAAATATAACCAGGGATGTAATCACCCACTATTGGAGTGAGCTTAAGCAAGACTGATTGTAGGTTAACTTGGGCAATAAGTTTATTGGTAGATGTTTTAATGGATGTTGTTGGATCTTTGAAAATACGCTTGAATTTTGTTGTATCAGACAGCATGTTGTGTATTTGAGTGTTGTAGTCAGTTCGGTTCATGACGACGTTCTTATTAGATTTATCGGATTTACGGATGACGATGTCGCTGTTATTACGAAGACTTTTAGCAGCGGTGAGTAAATCCTTAGATAAAGTTGGTTTACGACAGGCGTTGCGGTGACGATGTGATCGTCGTCATTCCAAATTTGCAATATCGATATTAGTACTTCTACCTTCACTTCCAGTATTTAACTTTTGAAATTCATTTCACATATTTTGTATATTGTAAATTTTATTATTAGTTTTCTTAACATTTATTTTATTGGCAAGTTAAGTACCTTTACTCAAATTTCGTATACTTTTTACATTAATTTTAATTTAATTTCCTTAATCATTTTACGCTTATATTTTCCCAATTTGGTTCGTTTATTCTCCTCGATTTTACAATTTTAAATATTGAATTCATATTTAATAATTTAAACGTAGGCTCTGATGATGACATACACTATCGAGACGACGTCGTCAGCCGTTCGAATTGCTTGACGAGTTTAATAAAATTGAGTTACAACAATTGCGTCTTATTGAACAAACCCAAAAAAAATTAATTATTACAAAATGGACAAGAACATTCAACCAAATTTGTTTTAACGAAAACCTCGTGCCAAACTATATATATATATATATATATATATATATATATATATATATATATATATATATATTTACAATATTCTATAAATTCTACCGAATGTTTGACGTTAATATGTTTGTAGTTCGTTTTTTCGATTTTTCTCACTAAAGTTTTTTGGTGAACGTTTAGTTTATTAAAATTCAAAATAAACTTATTTTTCGACTTCATGCTGCAAATAAGGCCATATTTCGATTCCGAATGAATCATCATCAGTGCTCCTTGCTGTATATATAGGGAAATATTGACTTTGTCAAGATGAACTTTGACGTTGTAAAAATTAACTTTGGTGTTGTAAAATTGAACTTTGATGCGAATTAGGTGTCAGGTTTCTTTATTGGCTGGTCATCTTCTTTGGTCTCCTTTTCTTCATCGATATCATCATATTCTTCTTTGTCACTATTTACGATGCTAGGTTTTATTACTTCTTTGTTTTCGTTGTTGGTTAAGCGCCGGGTTGGAAGTGAAGTTGTCATTTTTTGTTGTATATTTATTTTTGGTTTATTGATGTCAATTAGGACTGCTCTGCAATTTTAAGATGCTGTTCTGGTATATTACTTTGGTGTTGCTGTCGAGGATTTCACGGCTAATTGTGATTGAGTGTGTTGAGTCCAAATGAGATTTGATAGCACCACTCTGTTTATGCATCGTAAGCCTTCTAGTCACTGAGGTAGTAGTAATCCCGATATATGAGTCATGTTGATTCATCATCGGGATTACTACAATTACATTTACAATAAATTAAAAAAAGAAAAGTCAGCAAGTGTGGCTTGTTTTTTATTTAAACAGAATCTAAACACTCAGTTCAGTTCACATCACTATCAAACAAAGCATCAATGTGGAACATGGTAACAATTAATTTATGATCTGGGTCTATATGTATAGAATATATTCTATATATATGTCTGGGTCGTTCCTTCTTGCCTTTGTAGAGGGCCAACAAGGAGACGCTGGCAACTTTTACGACCTTGTTGCGGTTGCGCTTGTTTGAGAGAACACCGAATCAGGAAGAGCAGTGAGCGGGAGAAAAGAATAGTATTTGTTTGGATAGGCTGGACACGTGTTTCGTCCCTATCGGGGACTCATCAGCAGTCCGAATATCTATCTATAGTCTCCTAAATAATATACTACTGGTCCCTGGTCGAGAAACCAAATGTGATTTTGTGTGTGCTCGACCCAAACTGAGGCCATGCTTGTTTGATAAATAAATGCTACTCGCTATATAAGTTGCTGTTGTTTACTTTTGAACGTTTAGATTTCATTTATCATCCCTTGTATTGTGTTGTTGATTTTGCTTTTCATTTCGCTGATTTATTTAAAAATATTAAAATTCCTAAAAATATTTTATTTTAAATAATTAAATTCAAAATGGTTAATAAATGTTGTGTTTATGGCTGTAAATCTGGGTATACGTCAGAAAATCGTTCGGAGTCTGAGATTACGAAAAACAGAAAATCACGTTTCATAAATTTCCTATTGATGATGAATTAGCAAGAAAGTGGTTGAAAAATATCGCGAGAAAAGATTTTCATCCTTCGCAACATACCAGGATTTGTTCGAAGCATTTTACTCCAGATGATTTCATCACATCATCTCAGGACAGCAAAATCGCTCTTCAACGCCCAACAAGGATACGTTTTTGATGAGACTTAAACCCGATTCGGTTCCAACTATTTTTTCTAATCATCCAAAACATATGTTGTGTGAAAAAACTACCTCAAGATCAGGTAATGCGCTTCGAAGCAGTAGGAATAATAAAGAAATGGAAAGACTCGGGGAGTTGGAAAGAAATTTTATGGAAGAAGATTCAGTCGTAGGTCTGAATCTTGAAGATATTAAAATAAAATTAGAGAAAGAAAACTTTTTCCACTGAATTTATAATTAAATTCATAGACAACAACCTGGTATTACTAATAGTAAAGGTTGATGAAGATCATCATTTATCTATTAGTTGTTCAATATTAGTGACACCTGAGTTTCATTTGTTTGTAGAAGTGTGTGGAGAAGCTATCCTGCAAAAATTATAATGATTTACTGATGGTGATGTAGCAACAACCTTATAGTGCTTCATGATCAAATCAATAACAGGAAAGTATGAAGATGTCATTGGAATTTATCCAATGTTCAATACTAATGGTCATAAACAGTTTATATGTTTTCAAGATGTTGATGAATATTTGAGAAAATTCCCTCTATATTTGGTAGCAATTTGTGTAGACAATGCAACAACAAATCGAAATTTTTATAAAAACTACTTATGTGATGGAGAAATAAAACCATTTTATATTGATAAATTGACTGGACAACCTGTTTATCTTCTTTTTAACCCTGTACACAACTTCAAAAATGTCTACAACAATTTTCAAAAACGGAATGAGTTTTTACTGCCATCATTTCAACCTCTTAGCAAACACAGGGCATGATCTCAAACAATTAATTTCAAATGTATTTTTAACATTGTTGCAAATAATTTAATTAAATCAATTACAGAAAATGCAAATGAAAAAAAAGACTAATAATTATAAAAAAAGAAAACTTTGTAAATTACAGAACATTTGAATTTATTTTCTTAATTATATTTTTTTTGAATTAATAATGTTTTTTTTAATAAATGTTTAAAATATTTATCGTTTTAACATTTAAATCGTTTGTTCAAAGTATTAAAATGTTTAAGTGTTGCAGAATTAAAGACGTTTCGTCGTTTACTTTATGTGTGTAGTATAGAATGCATGGCCTCAGTTGGGGCATGTGTAAATTTCAGTTTCTCGTCTTGTATTTATTATTTAGGAGTCTATGACCTATCAGAACAGTTATCGCAGTTTCTTATATGGCCCGCACAAATCACTTTGTTAGCTCGTGGTGTTTTATTTATTATTGAAGATTGTTAATTTTTTAGTCGTTAGGATTTCAATTCGACAACCTTGAAACGAACTCCAGGAATATCTCTTCCAGCGTGACCTTTACGACCGAATCCAGCTACCAGAACTTTATCTTGTTCGTTTTGGTAGCTTTGTTTGATACTGATGTAAACTTCATTGAAGACCATCCAATGACACGAAGGCGGTGATCTTTCCATTTTTGATCAACTAAACTCTCACATATTTCCTGATGGCAGAGTTGGGTTGTTTGGCTTCAACACCAACTATTTCAAGATCGGTGGGGCCTCCCATTCTAAAGGAATCGAACAGATTGGACTTCCATCTTTTACCGAGGTGAGATTTTTTATAATCTTTATCATTCCATTTCTGCTCACGTCTGTGATTCTTCAACTTACGAGCTGTCCTAAGACCGCGAGGCTTACCCATGTTATACATACACCAAAAAAAGATACCAAGTATGGATAAGTATTATGCAAATGCATGAAATAAATCAATTAAAAAATAATTGAAATTATTAAAATCTTTAAAAAATTGATACATTTTTCTAATAAATTATAAATTATGAAATGTGAAAATACTTGACCTCACTGTCCTATTATTTTGAGCAGATAATATTCGAACTTTCAACTCCAAATACCAACGCTGGCTAACTTTCGCAATGTAATGATATTTTGATAACCCTGCTTAGTTAGAACTTATGTTTAAAGCAAACCGAAAGCTCAACGTCCTTATAATATATGTCAAGAAGGATGGTCGACAAGTAGGTACTAACAGAAATTATCAGTCACATGAACAATAACTAACAAACAAATATTAACAGTTTTACAATAAACTAAAAAAAACTTTTTTTAAAGAAATTTATTATTCAATAAATATTTTCATTACATAATTGAAATAGACCATTTGTACAAAACCGAAAGTAAAATACAAGTTATTACTTGGAACAACGAGCCCCTTGCACCATTTTGCTCGAGATTTAATTGTGCCACATTATGAAAAAGCAAAGATATTTATCGCTATAAAAAATATATTTACGACTGATAATGAGTAAAAAATCAGAAGCCGATTAAAACGCTCAATAATTATTATTACAAAATCTGGAATATGAATATTACAAAATTTACATGAAATTAGCAACTTAATATAATTTGTCCACACAAATAATTACTAGCCTAACTATAGTATTAAAGAGTAGAATATAATTTCTTAATTTACCACGTCACTAAAACATCGCAAACCAATTGTATTAGCTAAAAAAACTAAAACAATTTTCGTTTTTAAAAAATCAATATAACGCTAATTTTGCACTTTTGATAGTTTATATTTATATGAAAATAAATAGTAAACAAATTAGAAAATTTATATAAATTGGCCTTTTACCAGGACGTCTTCGAAGTTTGATAAATTGCGCTGACGTTAATTTATCGGTCGTGTACATCAAATGATGGCAAAATAAATATCTGAAATTGATCGTGATAGTGACAAGTCGTATTTTTAAATGCCAAAAACAGATGTAGGAAACAAATTAAACAAGCTATGAGAAAAAATAAAATGAATATTTATATACAAAACAGATAAATAAATAAATAATTGAACAAACGTATAAAATACAGATATTAACGAGACGTTTCAAGATGGAAAATGCAATAATACAATAAGCGTACACTTCAACACTGGGAAGTGCGAAGACATTCGACAAAATATTTTCAAACGTAATCAGTTTTGATTGCACAATTGATTTCATTTTACAAATCTCTTTTTCAGTTGTTTTGTTCAATCAATTATATTAAAGCAATTTGAAATTGCTTGAAAAGCATTGAAGATAGAACGAAGGAGGCTGTTTAATGTTTTTTTTAGTAAAGTTAGTTTTATCGTCCATCGTAGATAATATGATATATATTTGCAGGACTCATGTCATTTTGATTGCTTTTAGATAAAGATGCTTTAGAAGGATCGTCATCATCGATCGCACAAGCACTTTCATCGTTGTTGTCAGCACCTTCATTGACTACGGACAGTTTCATATCCCTTTTGACTCTGGCTCTATTTACGGAAGGACCTTGTAACAGTGTGATAATTATACAACCAGTAGAAACATTATTAATAGAAATATCAAACAACAAAAAAACTAAATGTAATAAATTTCTCAAAAATAAAACAAGAATATGCTGTTATAAAATTGGGTCATATTATAAAAACGCGAATGAAATATATGTTGAAATGAATTGTAAATAAAATTTTATCAAGTTTTCACTATATATTTCATGTTGTCCTGGTTATGACATTAAACTGACCCTCACTGCCTTGTGAGTGATGTTGGATCATCAAAGGCTAGGCCCACCGCTTATAACTGTGGTTGCGTAAGGAAGGGCGTCCTGTGTAAAAACTAGCCAAATAATAAATGCTTATGATGATGACGGAGAAAACAATGGCCCTCAGTATCCGGCAGAAGAGGGTGCGAAGAATCTCCGGAGACCCAGTCGATGGGGTTGTGGTGCAAGGCCCTGTGGATGGTCTGGCTACTGGCACCCCACTCTATAGTGTGGCGGTGCAAGGCACTATAGATGGAGGGACTACTTGTAGACCAAGGGGTTGGAGGTTTGGTACCTGGAATGTAGGCACGTTGACAGGAAGAAGTTTGGAAGTGGTGGAGGAGCTGCAGAGGAGAATGGTTGACGTGGCTGCATTACAGGAGGTCAGATGGAAGGGTGAGGGTACAAGGTTTGTGGGGGCTAAAGGTGGAAGATATAAGTTGTGGTGGAAGGGGGATGATGGTACGGGAGGAGTTGGTGTGATGGTAAGAGAAGAGTTGTTGGAGCAGGTGTTGGAAGTGAGGCGGAGAAGCAATGGGGTAATTGTGGTGGTGATGGTGTTTGGAAAAGTAATAGTGAGGGTGATATCAGGATATGCTCCGCAACAAAGTAGGAAGGAAGAGGAGAAGGATAGGTTTTATGATGATGTTTCTGACGAGATTGGGCAAGCGGGGTTGAATGAGTTTGTGGTGTTGTTGGGTGATTTGAATGGTCATGTGGGGGCGGATGCAGACGGATATGAAGGTGTACATGGGGGATGGGGATA